CAAGAATATTCTGTCGGCATTCCTAACGCTTCCGCTCCCATTTACTGCCAGGCTACCTTTCCCATTCTGCCAGGCAGCGGACTGTCCTGCCAGAATTTTCCCGGTCACATGCACCTGTCTTGAGCTGCTGCCAGGCCAGGGTTAGTAATGACTTACACTGTAGCTGTAGCTTTAGATCCATCAAAACTCACACTTTCAATGTAGAGTATTTTATACTGTAGTGTAGATTTTCGTGTCTTGATGCCCCCTGCTTTTTTCCATGTATACCTGATGTAACTTATTCCCAAATGTCGCACAAAGGGAAGGTGACGCTTTTTGAAGGCACTTCCGTGGGGTAAGTCAAGAGCTCTGCTGTCTGGCTGTAACATTGCTGTGACCTGCAAGGAAGCGCCTCCCCGTTTCCGTTCCTTTGTACACGTATAACCGAGTAATTCATTATGGCCAGCAGAAAGGAGGAGCTATCACATGCATGAAGTGAATATGAAGGAAAGTGAAGCAAGCACTAAGCGCTGTGGGGTATTCACCCTCTGCGCTCCATCTGCCTTGAAGTATGATGTACAGTGAAAAGTCATGCCAACTTTTCTATCCCTTAAGTCTGTCTTGGTTGCTGTAGAGTTGTCTTCCAGTGATGGGCAAGTGGTGCTGAAGGTTCCTTTGGTATTTCAATTGCAATGATGTAATTTATACCAGGAATTAAAGTGATTTTTTTTTTCCCCCCTTTGTGTTTATGAAGCTGAAGGTAAGTCTGCCTGTGGTTTTATACACGTTTTATAGTTGTGTTAGGTATTACATTTACACCAGAGTGCGAGTGAGTTCCTTTTTTTTTTTTTTTTTTTTGTTTAAAGCTACCCAATTGAGAAATGAATTCCTCATGACTTCTTTTATCTATCTGAAGATAGCATGCCACTGGTTAGGAGGAGTTACTTTTTCATAGTTAAGCTTATGGATGTTAATTATTGAGTTACAAAACATACTCATTTACAAGTGTTTGTGTCAAAGACGGCCTAGTGTAGTGCTGAGTAACAAGGGGGAGTACTGAATTTGGTGCGTGAAACTAATTATGGTTCTGTAAAGCGTTGTCTGTAAGCGGTTGTGTCATCATCACGAAACAATGACAGGCCTGACTCCTCCATCACACCAGCTTCGTGCCAGGATGTTGCTACTAGACTCTCAAGGTTTTCTACTTCATTTAAATGATGAAAGCAAGAGCAGATATATGCCGTTACAGCAAATATGGCATACAGATTCCTGAAGCCAAAGGGTTTTACTGGAAGGGATGTCTTTAAGCCAATTCCTCTGATGTTTTTAGTTGAGCAAGGATTACATGACATGTGTTTCCATTTTCCCTTAAGGAAGATGATTGCCACTGTGTCGGGGAACGTCATTTAAATAAAGTTCATAATTGTGAAGCAAATAAATCCATTTTACCTCTGTTAGTTGTGGCATGCTAACGTAACTTCATGTTAGTGAAGCGATCTAAAGGCAAAAGTGCTTTTTTTTCAGTTGTATTGGAAAGCAATCACGTAATAGACTTATGAGTGGGATGCGTAAGTGACGGGTTAGGTACGTTAGGCTTTTGGGAGAGAATAAGTAAGCATGCGTCATAGGTTATTCGGCTTTACTTTTTCTTTTCTGCAGTCTTGATTTTGCCTCATTGGCTTGTCAAGTAGGTACTTGTAGTCTTTTATTCTTTATATTAAAAAATTACTGATGATTTCCTCCATTTCTTAAAGAGTTAAATAATGTTAAAACTGCACAAAACTGCACCACAACTGGAAATGGAACATCATGTTTAAATTTTCCTTTTTAAATCACATTGCGCTATAAATGAAGGATAAAGAATAACAATTCAATATTCTTTATTCTGTGTATTTTCTGTCATTGTTAAAACGGATATTGGGAAGCGTTTTTGTACTCCCATGAGAACTATGCATGTTCATATGATCCCATAACAGATGCACTGGCAGTCTTTCTCTTTATAGTCTGAAGTGCATCGGAAATGATGCTGCACAAAGCAGGAAGGGCTTGTGGTGATATTTCTGTCACTGCAGTTTCATCTGTTTCTTGCTTTAGCTGAATATTTCTATTACTGAAACCTTTTAAACATTACTTTGAA